CATTGGATTTAACCATTTGCAATAAACAACCAGATAAAAGATAGACATATTAAGACAATGAAAAGATACTGATATAAATTTATATGAACAGTAACGAAATCAAAATCATGATCTGGCTGCAAATTTTTGGGAAGTTCGCTCACCCCAACTGTTTGTACTGATGTGACTTTCCCCAAAAGCAATTGCTGAGTTTCAGATGACATCAGAGCAGTCTTAGCCAATAATATTCAACATGGGGGGAGCTAAAAGCTAAAATAAATATTATTAAAATGTAGATTCTTGATGTAATACAGTGAATTCCAGGGCCTAGTCAGTTATTGAAATGTTCAGATTTAAGATTTGTGCATTTACCCTTTGGATATTTCATGGCAAAGTACAATGTCAGTCAATAGGGAAATCTCTTTTTTGCCCCCTGACATTATCACATTAGAATCTAAAAAACACCAATATCTGGTTAGCCTGAAGACTTGGGAGACTTGAAGCAAAAACTGAAACTACTGAAACGTGTGACTAACATTTGTCTAAATGACACTGTATCTTGTCTGACAGTGTAGCCATTACACAGAGCTGCATACAAACGCTGAAGTAGGGAAATACATCAACATGCAACACACACACACAGCAGCACCCTGGGCTAGCACCCTGAGCCAGCTCCTTTGTCAGGCTGTTGGGAGAGCAGCGGGTGGCCTGTGGGAGAATTTGGGGCTCCAAGGAGCACAGGAGTTGTTCCAAAACATTTAACTATACACTGCTAAACACTCAATGCCCAGTTTCCATTTTGAAAAGGATTGGTTGATAATGGTGGGATTAAATGGTACCCCATCTAAGTGACATATTGGGAAAAACTATCTTGAATAAAGGTGACTGAATTAGGAATTTTATCTGGATTTGAGTAAAAATGTGTGTATTTAATTAGTCACTTACCAAAAGAATAGACAGTTAAGGAGAATATTTTTTAGGTTATTTTAATAAATTCAATTTGCCTGAAAGATTTTCTATAACAAAGCTGGCAATCAGGTAGGGCTGGTAGACAAAAAATATATTTTTTTACTCATTTTGATTTATCACAGTTTTGTCTTACTGAAAAATATTCCATTTTATATTGATTTCCTGACCATAAAAAAGACTTTTAATCATTGCCATTTAACTAACTCCACAAAATACTCCATAGAGCAAGTTTGAACTCTGCTCCAAACCACATAATTTGACTGACAGAGTGCTGGCTGTAGACTTTCCCATTAATAGGACCTAAGTTGATCCCTGACATTAGAAATGAATTCATCTTGCTTTCGATTCACATTTGATTAATAGTCCAGCCATAAGAACAGGATAGGTTTTGTTCATTTTGAATAGCTAAAGTGCTCCAGGGACAAACAGCGTAATCAATAGGAACATTCAATTGAGTGTCCACAACATCAGAGACATGGACTGGTCTGGAGATAACCCAATCAATGTCAATGCTGCTAATGAATAATGTCAATGGAACACTGTTGACATGAAACGTGACACTGGTATAAGCTGGAAAAATACTGAATATCACAAACAGAAGAAAGTAGAGAGCAATAGTGACTGTACATCCACAGGGCTATCTATTATAGCCTCTTTCCACTGGAGCGGCTCGCTTTGGGAGTGCCTTGGAGTGGGTCTGCTTGTTTTCCATTCCCCAGGGGCAGGGCTCAAGATCCAGAGGCAGGGCTCAGGATCCAGGGGCAGGGCTCTGGATCCAGGTGAAGGGCTCTGTTCTGTGAGACACTGATGTCACCCAAACATAACTCTTGTTCTCTTAATTTATCCAATTTAAACTGAATCTGAATCATACCCCTTAATTTACAACCAATCTCAGTGATTCACCAAAATACGTTTAGTAATTCCAAGATTGTGACGCTTTGAAACGAGATGATTTATTTCATTTCTCGGCGCCTATGCGCCACATTTTAATGTCTCTTTATGTAATGCATTGGGTTTGGCTCATGTCAGATGCATTATGCCCTGGAAATTTAATATGTTTGATTTTTAAACGTGAGTGACGTGTGTAACCATAAACAGGAAACAGCTGTAAGCTGTGCTCTAGCTTTGTTTTGGCAGCATGTCGGTTCAACATTTTGCCATAACTAGAAATACAGTGATTTATTACAATATCAAGTCAGTGTTTGGTGAGATATTATTGTTTTATGTTTATTTCTGCTTTTTGCCATCTTGTTTTAGACTCTGTTTTCTCTCTTGTCCAATCATCTCATTTGATCGTTAACTACACCTAGCGGCGTACAGTACCAGGACCCTTCAAACTGTCACTTTAGTGTTTAGTGGAGATAGATGTGGCCTGTTCCAATCCGCTCCAAAGTGAACCATTGGAAATGAGGCTCATGTTTCTACAAGGAAACAGTAGCCACTGGATTTGGCTATTGTGCTCCCCACCCAGTGCATATAGTTGTGGATGTAGCACTTGCAGCAGCAGCTTTGTGCCTATGTGCATTGTGAGTATTTCAGGAGATAAGTGACATTTGATGGTTGCTAGGTAACTCAATGTTAACTTCTTGAACGACTGGCTGAAATACACAAAGGCTACTTACTATTTAACACAACCAAAATGCTGACAGTAACAAAACCCATAAGATTAGAAACCACTGTTCCTTCTGTGTTACTAGAGGTGGCCAGTTTTGACAAAAACATGTTAATATGAGCTTTGAGTTATAATGCATCAATGAGTTCTGTAAAATTAACCACAAAAGTCCAGAAATATATACAAGTTTGCTCAGAAAAGGGAAAATATATGTTTTTAACGTTTGACATTACACGAATCACATGTTTAGAGTCATATTCTGATACAGATTCAAGTAAACAACACAATGTTCAATCTGTGTATGATTCACCTGCGTCAGTCACAGGTTGAGGCCAAGCATCTCTGTTGTGTACGCAGAAACACAGAGTATTACTGTTTGTAAATCTATTCAGAACAGCTGAACTGTGAAACAGACCTCTCCATAGGGAAGACACTCTCATCTCCAGTTCAGCCCCGGAGAGGCAAAGAGAGCCTTTATACACAGTATTAAAAATCTCTCCAAAAAAGGGAGTGGTGGCACTGAATAGAGGAATTATGCAATAGGCACAAACAAAAATAGACCACTCAGCTTGTTACTATTTCACTGCTTCTGTAATGTGGCCAGAATTGAGTTCAATAGCTAATTTTTTTCAGCATGACTTATTTTGCAGAGACAATTTTCTGCCTGAATCTTTTGCCAGTCATGATGAGGCCAGAAATGTGATATTAGGAGACAGATATGAGCTGAACAAAATGTCTTTACTAGAGAAAAAAATTTAGAAACCCCAAACTTGGAGCTAGAAAAATACCAGTCACTGACTAAGGAATCTGGATATTGATGGTGACTGCAGAGTTAAATCAAAAGCCAAAAAGACCATCACAGGAATA